TCCGATTACGAGGCCACATGTTTGAGGTCCCCGACCCCTTTGACTCAGCAGTCTCTCTCGACAGTACAGCATCAGTTACAGCCACAGACCAGCGAAGGTGAGGAATTTAGAGTTTCCCTTTGAAAATTTCAGGCAAGAATTTGAAAATATTTCCTAAGACTTTCCCATTGCTTGCTTAAGCAAGGGTAGATTTATTACATATCTCCCTTTTCCCACCCACAAAAGATACACAGAAGAGTAAAGAAAATAAGAATAGAGTTTTAGGATCTCTCCTGCCTCTCAGGTCCGTTTGCATGTCAGAGGCAGAAGGTCTTGTGACTTTGAGGTATGAAAGCAGGCGAAAGAATCACACTGTGTTTGAGCGGGCGAACGGAAGCTGCAAACTCAGCATCCACACACACACTCAAAAATATCCCAGACAAGACAAGAGGAAAAGTAACAAATGTAGATTTTTGCTGCGCTGATCACGGAGACTCGAACTGATGAGGCAGACCTGATCTGTAGGGCAACAGGAGCTGAATTCTGAGAGGCCACCGGCTCACGGCTCTCAGAGGGCCAGCTAAACTAAACGAGTCGACCCGTTTGGCTCAATTTTAACAAGGGGGCCTGACCTCCATTTGCCAGAGGTGACTGACATTTCACTTACGTTTCGATTTGTGTCCCCTGCTATGTGTACCGCACGGCAGGGTTTTGTCTTTACAATCTTGTGAAAAAGCTCAGGCAGGCAGACAGACAGCACTGCCGTCACGGAGCTGCTTCTATGACCTGAGGGATATTCTATAGTGAGCTTATGACGCCACCAGTGGTTCTGTCAGATTAGTTTGCCCCTTTTTTCCAACACTGGATCTTTCCTTTCAAATTAGAACAGAACAGAACTTCTCTGCTCCGGAAATGTCATACCATGAAAAAAAGTGTAATAACTACTTTGTCTATCTGGACTTTTTTTTGTCAGGATAAAGTGAGTGTGAGTTTTCTGATGTGTAAAAATCAGTTTATATGTTTTTAGTGAAGAAATAAATCAATAAAATCAACCCACAAAATTAAACATCATATTTTGTGAATTGCTTGAAATGAAACAGCCCTGAGTCCTTTAAAACATGGAGACACCATGCCAAACACACATGTACGTGAAAGCCCAGTGCACATTGATACTACTACTACTCTAGAGGAGCCTTTTGTCCAGGCCTCACGGCTGGCACGCTACATGAGTCAGAATCTGGATTTTTGTCTGGCTCTAGTTGGTCAATTCACTGACACTTTTTTGATTCCTCTGATCTTATTGGATCCAATTAGCAGCTGAGGGGCATTTATCATAAATATGCTGGATGCTTGGTGGGTTTTTTTGCTGTGGTTTTGGAAGGTTTGTCTGTGAGAATACTTCAGCGTTCGTAATAAAACTAATAATAATAATACTTCAGCGCTTTGTTGTTTTCTTCGTTAGTTTCTAGCTTTTCTGGACTAATTTGCACATCACATTTTATAAATTGTTGGAGCTGTGTTTGGTGTATTTTCAAACGCTAGTTTCAAAGTGGATGTTGTAGCCAAGTCTCTAATGTTCATTTGTTCGTGATGAGTAGATAATATTCTTGTTGGAACTTGGTTCTGACTCGGTCTGGCACCAACGACGGGGATATCAGGCACAAGACATTGAACTGACCAATCCGTTGTATGTGGTTTGGCCCCAAATCACCAGTCTCTGGTCGATAGCTCTGTTCTGATGCATTAAAGTACAGCATTTTCACTTAACTGTATCCATGGAGATAGCTTTGGTTTCATAAATACTTTTTACCTCCACCCCAATACAAATAGTGTCTAGAGAAAACAATAATATCAGTCAACAACAGTTCTGTCTTTTGAAAGTCACGTGGTATAATAATGCTTCTAACACAAGAAACAGGGTCCATCGTGGGTGGGGCGCGAGTGTCGAATTAACTCTGGACATCCCGAGCAGCCACCAGAGTGATGGCACTATTCACCAGTATTCCTTTACCCCACAGCGACAAATAGCTTAACTGGACTCTGAGCATGAGATTTACTGTTTTCATTGCTGCTGTGCTTTCTGTCTGCGTTCCCTGTGGTTGGCATTACACTCCAAATTAAATTGAATTTGGCTATCTCTCAAACTGCTGTTGAACACAGCGCTGCAGGCTACCGTCCCTCCCGCTCGGTTCCTTCAGCTTCCACAACAGATGGAGCTGCAAGTCGGTCGCAGTAGATACAGAGAAGGCATTTTTTCTATTTGGAACCTACTGCCAAGTCTCTGAGCCAAACTTGCTGTGTGTGTGTTAGTTTAGGCCACAGTGTGATAGGACTGTGCCCCCCACCCCCTCCCCTGTCTCTTTTACAAGAGGTCACGGCCTTGCTGCTGCTGGGAGAAAGGTGAAAGTTTACACTCGGAGGCAAGACGGGTTTCCCAGGCCTGCTAAACATGCCTGAAGCTGGGAGACGCTGCCTGGGACGTCATCAGATGGACAACAAAGGTGCTGCCATGTGTGTGCGTGTGTGTGTGGGGGGGAGGGGGGAGGGGTGAACTGGTGAACAAAATGAGCGATAAAGGGGTCCATATCAGAAATCATTTTTAGGATTAGATGTACAGGAAGTCGACAACACGTACACGCCGCTCACTAGTATCCGTCTCACCTGTGTAATCACACATAACTACACACTGTGGCATTAAAACTTATATCCCAGCTCCTGCACAAACACCCAGTTTTACTCATCTCCTCTTCAATCAGAGCGTCCTGGATGCAGCACCCTGTCATCACCACAGCCGAATAAAACATCAACTTTGTGACCCGTCTGTGTGTGTGTGTGTGGCAGAAGCTGATGCAATGCCTGTGGAGATTGGCACAACTCTGGGAGCAGGATCCAGAGGAGCTTGGGGTTTAAAGGAGTCTTGGTTTAGTTCCTTAACAATTAAATCCCTGCCTGGAAGCTCATTTAATGACATACAGCAGAGAGGTCTCACTGTGTGAATGCTTTTTAGATTATTTAACTGTCTGGGACTCTCAAAGATACTCAATAACACCAACTCCACCAGTTTACCCCCCTCCCCCCCCACAAACACACACACACACACACGGAGGAGTAGAACCACTCCATTGTTCTTTCCTCACAGTAAAATAAAATAGGGTTCTTATTAATCTTGTGTGTATGGTAACATCTTTGATATGGAAATGAATCAGCAGATGCTCCTGTTTAAAATGTAAAAAAAGCTTTGAATGGGTGAATGATGACATGAAGTGAAATTGCGCTTTGAGTGGTTGGAACAAGATATAAGAGCAGTCAATTTAGCATTTACCATCGGTTAAGAGGAGTCAGCCGTCAAACAATGCCATCAACAGAGAAATAGGTTGGTCTAAAATGTTGAATCTTTAGTCTGTTCTCATTAGTTGTGAACAGACAGCTAGACATACGCATAGGCGCGTGTGACCGAACACATGATCCACTCAGCCTTCGCCTGGGGGAGATAGTCATTTGGGGAAACTGGCCCTTTAACTCTTCTGTTCTGTTTTAAGAAACAATGAATATGTTCTCTTGCGTAGTTATTATGACCATATCTATCAAATATATCAAATTTTTAGCTCTCCCTATTGGAAAATGCCTTGTGACTTTTTTAATTTAACGTAAATTGCTTATGTTTTGGAACTGCAACAATGGATGTCTCTGTCTGTTGAACCAGGTCTTTTATTAGACATCTAAAAAGCCTGCATGGCAAAGTGACCAGCATGCTTGCTTCCCTATATTGGGGTTATAATGGTCAAATGTCATGCCCAGATTTAACCAAAGGTCAAATGGTTGACCTGTCTATTTCTATTTTCATTACACACGAAATCAAGAAATCCAGACTGTGCTCCAACTATTGATCTGTTTAATGAGACCTTCTGCATGTCAGCAGCTAGACGTGTAATCTAATGATATCCTCATATATAGTGGGCAGAGTGCAGGCCATTTCACTCTCAATATGTTCCCTGATGAGGTTGGTTTCCTTTGTGGGAATAAGACAAATTGTCACACTGGTGACTCACTCAGAAGAAACACTCCTGATCACAGATCTCTTTGAGGAGGACACGGCTCTCTGCTGTTTGCTATGCTTCATTGCTTGTACATGAAGACTTCCTTTTGTTTCCCATTAGCACCCACAGACTAAGGAATACGATTTTCACATCTATATGGTGCAACCTGCAAGGATCAGCGTTGCAGACCAATAAAGCAGATAAAGCATGACACAGACTGCCTCTATTCAGCCGCTGGAATTATTCTATTTCTGCTGATGGAAAGCGAATAGCAGGAATGAGTAGTTTTCCTTCTGTGCAGCGTACAGTAAACCTGTTGTACTGTCAGCATCACCGAGTCGACACCGCGCACTCCACCCTGCCGCGTCAGAACGCAGGGCTCTCTGCTTTTGGCGCACCAGGCACGCTGCTGTATCCCACATCCAGACCCACTCCTATCAGTTCAGTTAATATAATGGGTAAGAAAACTCTCCCCGCGGAACCCCCACCGGCATGGAGAGGACTTCTTTGTGGCGTGATGAATCATTAAACACGTCTCCAGGCGCGCACCGATTAGAGAGGACATTGGTCTTTAAGTTCTCCCCAGAGACGGTTCGTTTCCAGATTTTGGACACCCAATTGATTTTCCCTCCTCAAGATGGGGAACAATCTCTAAAACGCCCCACGCACATTTTACCCACGCACCGATTCCCATCGCCGAACCACGTTTCCGGAGACAAAACAAATCTCCATGAATGCCACGCTCGCCTCCGCCGCGGAGAGAGAACTGCCCAACAAAAGCGCAACAAGACGATCGGGTCGGGATCAATGGTGCCTCATCGGCGGCGTGTCGTGCTCGGGCCGGATGATGGACGCGCTCACACGTGCGTCGTGTATGCGTTCCCTCCGTTAGTGTACAGCGCGGACAGATCCATATGTCAACATGCCATCTCATACATCACACACACACGCACAGTGAGACTGGGGAGAGGAGGGAGGTCCTACCTGGTTGGAACATACTTTGGAAATAAAAGATGACCAGAATAAAGGATCCCAAACAAGTGGCGAATAGCATCCGGCATATCCGGCTCATCCTCAGCAGTTCGCTCAGAGTCTGTTTCATGGCGGGGCGCTGCTCGCTTTGTGCGGGGGCTGAAGGGCCGGGAGGGTCTGTCGGAGGCTCCGGGGCTCTCTGGCTGCTGGTACTGATGAGGATTGTCCGCCGGTCGATTGAACTGAACGCATACAACGCGGAGCGTACCACTGCGCCGCCGGGGGGGTGGGGCACGAGGAAATGAGCGCGTCCAGATGTGCTCTTCAGCGTCAAATGAATTAAGCCTGTTGATGACCATATACCGTAGCTCTTTTTTTTTTTTAGAACAAATAGAATAGAAAGTTTTACACATATTACAGAATAGGTCGCACGTCACGGACCGCGGGTTTACCCAGTAGAGTAAAAGTAAAACAGGTGAAGCACCTCAAACATGTACTTCAGTACAGTAGCTACTTGTAGTAACTTTCCACCACCTCTTGAATATTTCATCTTATGCTGCTTTAAGCCTTCCACTTCACTACATTCCTAACGGAGTATTTTCATTCATTCAGACACATCCAGGATGATAGACAATGACACGACAAGTGACACAAGAGACACAGCTTAAATACACAAGGGAGGTGCAGGTGATTGGACACAGGTGGAAACGATCAGACAATCACAGGGGATGACAGGACAAGGCAGGAAGTGAAGTTACCTGGGGACACGAGTGGCGGAAAACTACAAAATAAGACAGGACGTGAACCACACCGTGACATAGTGTTATTAGTTACTGTTTGCTGTGTAAAAGAATTTGAGTTTGACAACGTTATAAAATAAGATGCCTTACTGAATGAAACCCCACTTTTTAAAATGCATCGCTCATAAAGAGACACAAACCAAGCGGGAAGAGATTAAAAATGACGACAAAGACATCTGAACAACAAAAAAAGACTCAAGGAGACACCGAGCTGCTACAAAGAGACTCACTAATGGGCATGAAGAGACATAAAACATCTACACAGAGAAACTTAACAACTATGAAGGGATTAAAAAATGACAACAAAAATACCAAGACTTGAGGGTTACACAAAACCACTATAATTAGACCTAAAGGAGCCCCGGAAAGATATGAAGGGATGTGTGCAAACAAAGAAGGCCCGGGGCCCGGGGGGATCTCGTAATCCACCCATGGTAGGACAAGTACTATTTAGAGTAGTGTAGCAGCGTTGAACTGGATCTGTTGGTGATAGCAAACAGTTGCAGTGTTGCAAAAATAACAATGGTATTATTTAGCTGTAATGTAGTAGAAGTGTTATTGGTGGTACTCACAGTACAAGTTATAATTAAATATATACAAACTTATCAGTGGTACCAATAGCAGCAGCAGTAACAGAGGAAATATTAGTTGCAGATGTGCAGTAAAACTACAGCAACCTGTTGGTTCAACACGCATATGCGAGCTCCTGATGTCTCCATCTTGCTGCATCATTGAGCCGGCCTGCGTACAGCTGCAGGGACATCTGGTGGCGGATGTTAGCCTAACGTGTGCCGGCTTGACGTAAGTGCCTGTTGTGTAGCTGTGGTTTTGGAGTTTTACCAACTCTTGAGAAAAATGTCTGTCTCTTTACCAGAAAATGTTCTACCATTACTGTGTGGGAAGGTGTCCATCAGTTTGCTTCTGATGATTCGGGCAAACACATCAGAAATATGGTCTTAAAAAGATGAACTAGAAGTTACTAGCTATCCCATTTTATTAATATAAAAACCTCTAAAAAGGAAAAATCATCCCAATCATTTTACTTTTTTTTGTAAATTTCTCTGAAGCAATTAAGAAAATTACGCATACGATAAAAACTATCAATAGACAAAAGAAAAATTCAATGTTTTTTTGCCTATACAGACCTTAAATGATGATTGCTGGGTAAAATGTATTGTAATGTTGTCAAATGTCAAGCCCGTATTTGATCACGTAACAATACTAAGTTGTGGCGCAAAATCTAGCTAAGACTAGCGAGATGAGCGATCTGCAAGCAGAGAGGTCAGTCGCACCTTTCACACATAATAGTTCTAGTAAGAAAAGAGACCTTATAAGAGATCTATATATATATATATATATATATATATATATATATATATATATATATGTAGAGACCTTCATAATTAGTAATTAATGAGCAGGGGACAATCGACAATCAATCGGAACTCAATCGTCAACTCATCAGCTGGCTGATGGATCTGGGATTTACTTTTGAACACCATCTCCAAAGCCCTGACACTACCAGGATCGGTGACTTCTATCTAACACTCCACTAAGTGCCTTATAATCAAATTTAGAAAATGAAAAGTATGAACCTTTTAATGTGCTCTGAGGTCGGCCGTTACAGAGATGGACTGTGGAGTTTATTAAATATTGTCCATGAATTATTCAGACGGGCAGCATTTGGAGCAGGAACTCATTTGAATCTGCTGCTCTGGCATCGACCCCAGACAGCAGAGCTTTTCCCAAGGACTCAACATGGTAATACCTGAAAACCTTCTTTCAAAAAAAGAGTGACGTCAGGAAAGGCCTTTTGGCTCCATATCATTGCGGGGACGGAGGCGTGGCTCAAATAGCCATTGCAGCACCGCTGCAGTCAGAAATATTGATTCTGGGTAGTAAGGTCTACTTGGTTCAATAGGGTGGTGTTTAAACTCTGCCCCGAATCCTCAATGTATGTGTGAGTGCCACTTGAGTCCCTGGTACTCCGTTCTCAAATGAGAGCCCAAATCTGAGGGACCAAGGTCCCGTCTGTCTTAGTGTAGCGCTGACTACTAAGTCATGGCTCCATACAATCTCGTTAACTCTGAGCCTTGTTCCAGATGGGGCTATGCTAGGGGGATTTTGGGCCCCAGGGTCATTCCCAACCATGTGTTCCAAGGTCCTACATGTGTGAGTCAGAATCATTGTTATGTCAGCTGGAAGTCCCAAATTCTAGTTGGTTCTAGGCCAAGTCCCCCGACTGACTGACTCAAACTCAATTCAAGACATGCCCCAACACATTTAAACCCACAAAAACAAAAGAGCCCATACTGAAGGCTAGATTTGATGGCTGCAGTATGATCTGCACACAGGGACTGAAGTGAGAACAGTAGAAATTATAATTAGCACAGTTACAATGAGCTTGGCAGAGTTGCGATTTTAAATGCAGTCATCTCGAGGGGCACCGACTCACTTGTTGGAAGAGCTAAAGAATATAACAAAATGATGGCTGGCGTAATGTGGTGTCAACTAATCTACAATTGGAGGTAGTATGATCAAATATCTCCAGAGGGAAGAGAAAATAATCTCATTTCTCTATAGCTAATGTTCTGTGTATCACATTTATCAAAGTGTGTGGGGGCCTTAATGAATTTGGACTTAACTATAACTACACTACACAGTTGCCTCATTATATGATGAGAATCGGATATGATTACATAAAGATACCTTATTTTATGCAGTACTAGCGTACATCTCGAAATTTCTCAGTTCTTCTCCTCTCTTCGAATGTAGAAATGTCAAACTGCATGAATCACTTTCTAAGGCATCAACGCCGTCACCCTTGCTGTGTCAGTGTGCAGTGTCCTTTTTCATTTAACACAAACGACACAACGTGTTGCGGGGGAGTGACTCGTTGGCGTTGGTGCATCGCAATCAGACGCTTTCCCTGCAAGATGTTGAGAATAACTTGATAATAACTCTTTCCAATGGTCTTGTTCGGTTTTGTAGGTCAGAGGTGTCAAATTAATGTTAGGTAAGGGGCCACATACTGCCCACTGATCTCCTGTGGGTAAAACTAGTACAATCCTTGGTGGGGGTCAGGCCAACGGGAGGGGGTGACAATGTGATGTTGACTGATGACTGATGTATGTCATTTACAGAGGCAGAAGTAGTAAATTGAGACTTTTCAAGGTATGGGCCGAAAAAACAAAACCATACGCTGAGAGATGCTGGAAGAGCTGAAGGGAACTGTAGAGTAGGCGAAAATGATCACCACAATATTTCACTTTACACATAGTTATTTGATTGCAGACACAGTGCCGTAATCGCATTGTGAACAAAAAGCAATATCAGCTCTGATCAATTCCCTCGTTTTGCTCTCATCTATTGGTTGTGTACAACATATGACAATAAAACAATAAAAAATATCGTCCCCATACACATAACGGGAAAAAAACAGTTGTAATACATGTAGCAGTGTATTAAAAAAAGTGATTGATAAAATATGTATAACTTTGTGATTCTGGGGGAGCTGAGAAGGCTTAGATAAAGTAAACTCCAGTGTGTGTGTGTGTGTGTGTGTGTGTGTGTGTGTGTGTGTGTGTGTGTGTGTGTGTGTGTGTGTGTGTGTGTTTGTGTGTGTGTGCATGCTTAATGAAGGCTATATCTGTCAGGCTTTGATACACACACTGTTCTTTCGTGGGATTTGTTCACAGTAAGAAAAATGTAGAATATTGTATGTTATGTTGTCCTCAAGTGGCTTTATTCTATTGCATTGTTTATCACATAAACACATTGTGATAATTATCAGAAGTATTATCACAAAATGTACCGTGTAAAAATAAACATTGCACAGAAAAAGGACTTCTGTGACTTGTTTTGTTAAACATTGACTTATTGGATTTATACACACAATTGTTTGGTATGTATGTTATATTTTTAGCAATAACATTATAATAGTCGAGTAAAGTACCATCAAAATTGTACTTTAGTACAGTATTGGAGTTTATTTCTGTCCTGGTGTGTGGGGGGGGATTTGACTCAAATCCAACCAGGTGGATATTGTATTCCCTCATAATCCCTACAACAGTTGCCACTCATGAAACAAGGTCCTGCTTGCAGGCCGCAGCACGCTCCACCTAACACAGACACAAGAAGCACTGCATAACAAAGGAACATGTCCGGCTTTTTAGTGTGACTGATCTCTGTCTCTACCTTGCTTAGTGATAGAGGAAGTCCACTCCACTAACGATCACATGGTTTTCTATCCTCCGTGCCCTCTTCTGATGGTACCTGGGCAGCAGGTCACAGGGCAGGCTGCAAAAGGTCACAGGTCAGGCTGCGGCAGGACGACATCGGGCAGTCAGGGGCCGTGGGTGAGTGTGAAGTTGGGAGAGGAGATCAGGGAGAGAGGGATGGTGATTTTAGCGATTGTGATTGCGGTCTGCTTATACTCTCACACGCGGGCTTTAACGTGGACTGTAATGTGCTGGCTGACCTGGTGAGGCATTGTTCTCTATCTCCGGTTACGCCCAGGTAATGAGGCCTGTCTCCTGACACCATGCCAGTGTCTCTGCAGTCAGACGCCTCTTCCTCTCCTTCAGGGGCGAGGACGAGCACCACAACAAATCTGCCTTATGTCTTCAACAACCACTTCCCTCTAAAAATACAAAACCAATCAAGAAATGTATGTTTTGCAATCGCCTCTGATTTGTTGCTTTTCATCGTTCGCGGTGGAATTTTCCAAACGCCATCAGGAGCTCTAAAAGATGCAGAGGAAACGTATCCTTTTTTCACAGATTATCTGTCTCTTGTACTACTGGCAGGATGTAGTGACAGTTTGATCAAATATAATAAAAGTTAGAGTCACCAGCTGTGGCTTGAACTGCTCCCAGTCTCTATTACCTTAGAGTTGGCGTAGGCCTTCCAGCTGGGATTGTTTTTGCACACCACACCTGTTTATTCGAGGCTGAAACAGTCAACAACCTTTTGCTTTGTCTTTTGATTTGTCACCTTCCCCTTTTTAACCTCCAGCAATTTTTCTGAGAGTCCTAAACAACTTTTTTCCAGCTGAAACGACCACTGTAAGAACCACCTGTTGTTAAAACCCACAAAAATGTCTTACTTAAAATCCAAGCACGTGGAGCAACAAGACAGCTGGAGTAATATCAAGAATAGGGAGAAAGAAATGCCTCCCAATCACCCGGCCACAGGGAGCCAGCAGGTGGAGCGTCAGCGCCTTCCTCCTGAACCCTCCTGCCTCCTGGCAGAGGGAGAGAGGAGAGAAACGGAGTGAATGAGAGCGTCGAAGGAGAAAGAGGCTAATGAAGTATTGAAACGGGTTAAGTTTTGTTCTTGTCAACAGTCCGGCTCCTGCTCCTTCATAGAACCCCCCCATGGATTATCTGCATCACCATCAAGACCATTAATATGGTAATCATGTGAGCTTCATTGTCCAGATTAGCGGTAATTATGAGGTGGAGTTGGTGGGGGTCCTCTTCCACTGAGGGAGGCTGGATGCATGCGGAGGAACTCATCACCGGAGAAGCTGTGAGCCGGACGGCCCAACAAAGACGCAGCTCATCTGTGTGAGAACAACAAGGGACCCGTTCACATGTCCTCACGCTGACGCGGTCATAGAGAAATACAAATTACCAAGTGGTCGTTAACTCTAACACGTGCAAAGACACATTCTTTGTTATTCTGATTAATGACAAGAGAGGCTTTTTGGAACTATACTAAACTATTGATACATTTGATTAAAGTATTTCTACAAAAGGTAATATATATAGATAGTTTTCTCTTTTTCTGTGTGTGTGCGATGCATGTCTGTCTGTGTTGCTTTGTGGCTGATCAGCGTAAGTACGCTTATTGAAGATGAGCACCGGGCACCATCTTCATCCACAGATTCCAATGCGTTACTTACACAGCTCCCTCTGGTTTAACAGGTTTCTGAAGAATAAGAGTGTTAGAACGTGTACGATCCGTTTTCTCAAAACAACATTGAGTAAATTACTCATAAATAGACTTTCAGCGGATATTTTATTGTTCCATGAGGCACTTCAGAAGGTATAAGAGGTGCATTCCTGTACAGCCAAGAATGTAGGAATTATATGAAATCAATAAATGGACCTAAAAACTAGGATCTGTTCGTAAATAATTTGCACTTTCTAAATGTATACATCATTTTGTTTTGAATTGTACTGACTGTGTATTTGGCTTTCCATTACTTTGACTGCAAAACTATTTTCCCAGTCACAAATAAACTTGTTTCTGCTGCTGAATTCACTTTAAACCTCTTAGGTAGGAGTTTGCAAGGTGTCCTTGAACGCAGCACAGCACCCTAGCGGCGAGCAGCGGTAGTGCGGCCGCGGTTACGCGCTGGGACTGGTCCTTTCGCAGCCATTTTCTGTCCAACCAAACAGCCGTCTCAGGAAGGTAACCAACCAGGGCTTCATTGCAGGTTTGTGCCTGGCTCCGGCCAATGATTGCTAACCGATTTCTCGTTAGCTCGAATGGAAATGTCCGTCTCCGTCTGATTTTTTATTTGTTGTCTGAGTGAATGAGAGCTGCTCATCAGGAAGTATCCAGCGGCGAACCTTAATAAACGACTATTTGATTTTTGGGCCCGGCCACGTCCCGCTCAGATCTGTACAACAAAGAACAGGCCAAAAGGCGCGAGTTGCAGTGGACGTACATTGCAAACGTATTCAAGGGGCGCTATGTACCCGACTAGGTTAACTACACCAGGTAGAGAGCCTTCTTCATTGTGCTCACCTCAAACCAGTTAGCGTTACCAGTCTTAAGAGCAGGGAACTGGCTAGCTAGCTAGTTTAATTCGCCTGGTATTGCAAACGTTAGCTAAAGATGTCAACGCGCGGCAGACACCGGCTAGTTAGCACACGAAAGCTAAACACAGACCTGGATACGTTAGCGTGTTGCTTACGTAAACGAACCCTTGCGTGCTACAGCGGTGCCCTCGCACGGTTCCCCATGTAAGCGATGGAAACGACGGTAACGTGAGCCGACCCGAGGACCCGGTGTCGTGCAAATTGTATTTTCCAATTCACTCACGCGAGCCGGCAAACGCATTTCATCATGTTACGATTGCGCGTAACGTGAAGGAGGAGAGGCGGAGCTCCAGCAACCTTCGGTCAACATCTAAGAATACATCTGTCCTTAAAAAGAAGCGGTTACACGTCAAACGGTATCCGGAGCCTTTAAAACGGAAAGGTACGACGTTAACGTGAATGTAACATCTGGCGTTGTTCCACACAAGAGTTTCTCAATGTGCGATCATGTGCGATGCTTCACTCCAAGACAAAGCAAGGCAGGCCTTGGGGGGATTTTCATTCATGCCTTTCACGATTCGTTCGATATATAAGAACCATTGTCTGTTTCATATCAATCAATTAACTTTGAGCAAACGTACAGATAAAAGCAGGGCAAGTCTCGTGCTCTTTCTGTGCCTGAATTAACCACAGACCTATAAACCAATGAAAGATTGAGATACATACAAAGTGATTGTTGGAATATGACAAAGAAAATACTCACATTTGAGATGCTGAACACAAATAGACACTAAGCTACAGAGAAAACCTTTAATAAAACAGCATGGAATTTTATTCCAAAGGAGATCATCTGCTCCTTGGTGACTTTGCGTCGGAAACAACGTAAATCACACTTTTGAGTTTGTTGTTGTGAAGTTAATGATGCGGTCATAGCTCCAGATGTGACCTTTGTGTTTGTGCCACAGATGGACGGAGACAGCTCGACCACCGACGCCTCCCAGCTGGGCATCAGCGGAGAGTTTGTGGCATCCGGTCAATACGTCTTCCAGTCCCAAGACGGTGAGGAGCCGGCCCAGAGTGTGGCCCGCCGGAGAGCTGGGGTCACGGGCCGCTCATTCTAACCCCCGTGTCGTGTTTGTTCGCCCCAGATGACGGAGAGGAGAATCTGAATGACCACGACGATGGCGGTATCAAGGAGAACTTCAGGGAGCAGGACATCTATCTCCCCATTGCCAACGTGGCTCGCATCATGAAGAACGCTGTTCCTCAAACTGGAAAGGTAGGTGTGTGTGTGTGTGTGTGCGCGTGTGCGTGCGCGCGCGGCAGGGACAATCACAGACTCTTGTAAAAGAATGAGTTATAAGTGCATCACAGCCCAGTTGATGAGCCTTTTTAAAAGACCATGCTAGACAATAATTGGCTTCCAAACGCGTTGTGATGCCCTGACTAACAGCTGGTGATAATGGCTGTAAAAATGCTTGATCTAAAATAACAAAATTGTTAGACCTTTAACTTTTGCCTATAAGAAAAACTACCTGCGGGGTCTTTAAGGTGAACGCTAACTATCCTTCTCCAGCTGATAAATATGAAAACATCACTAACTCAAATGAGCAGCAACGGCAGTGTAAAAGAACCTAGAATGAAGACCGGGCGGTATGGCCGAGATCGCTTGTTAGCGTGTTAGTTGTTGTGGCTGCTAGTGTTGCCACCAGAGGCGATACCAGCGGCTCGACAAACTTTGCCATAAATTGTTTCTACTTTACGTTGGTATTTCCAACCCAAACATCTCGGGCACAAGTTGTGTTGTTGTTGTGCTGCATCTCTGTTCTCTCGTTGTTCCTCCTGGATCACTCTTTACTGCTTTAATGTAAAGCTGTTGTGTTGTGGTGTTTTACCCCGCTAGTTTTGGAGTGTTAGATGTTGTTATAAAGTCATAACCACGACTCGTAGACGTAGGACGAGTAGCTCCTGGTGATAAGCGGTGAACATTTTGCTGCCTGCCGAAGAGCAACAAGTCTGTTTTCTGTAGAAGAAATGAGGCAAACAGCTAATGTTAACACTTCTCTGAACACAGCTCGCCTCCTTGAGCTCAATATGCATTTAACAGTCCTGATCAGGCTCAACGTGGTCCGTCCGTGTAGCTCTTCAGGCGCCTGAAGTGGTTCTGTTTCCACTGAGACCCAAGTCAGGTGTCCGTGATTAAAGACCACAACTGGGCAATTTGAAAACGTATTCCATCTCCCATTCAAGCTCACATTTACTTTCAAAGGTTTAGTTTGTTTTCGGCGACAGGGAAGCACTCTGTTCAAGCCCCAGACGCTGCAGGGGAACTGACCGTATTACTAACAAATGGCCTGATGCTGCTCCCTGAGTGACAGAAGTTGGTCCTTAGTTTTTTTTTAAAACTCTGTTCCCGTTTCCCACAGATTGCCAAAGATGCCAAGGAGTGCGTGCAGGAGTGCGTGAGCGAGTTTATCAGCTTCATCACGTCGGAGGCAAGCGAGCGCTGCCACCAGGAGAAGAGGAAGACCATCAACGGGGAGGACATCCTGTTCGCCATGTCCACACTGGGCTTCGACATGTACGTGGAGCCCCTGAAACTCTACCTGCAAAAGTTCAGAGAGGTAAGACACAAAGAGAAGAAGCAGGCCCGGGTGCACTGCGATGGGCCCACCAGTGACCTTATGTTGTCATCTGGTCGAGAGTGAACATTTTCAGTTCAGAATCACGGTAGTGATCCCAGCTAGTGACCGCAGAGCAGGATCGGCAATACAAGCAGCAGAAGTGAGCCTCCTCAGTTGAGCGGCTCAGCTCTTGCTCAGCAATAGGGGAGAGGACTTCACACAGAAGTATTCCAGTCACATCCAACTGGTAAGCGGCCCTGGGGGTCGACCTAGGACAGGCTGGAGGAACTATATATGTGGTCTGGGACCGTCTCCGGGTCTCCAGGTTGCTAAAGAGAGGGACGTCTCTATTCTAGCCCGCTGCCAGGCAAGCATTGGATGAAACTGTTATTCTCTTTCCCTATTGAGCCGCTCTAATCCTCTCTCGTTTGTGTTGTGGTTCACGGCTCAGGTTATCTACTCCCCATTGTGACCGAATCACTACCATCGATCACATTGTTCCATAGTAGGATTAAACATGCTCATAGTGTAGTATAGTTTAGCAATGCTCAGAATGCCACCCGTGTTCTTTTAAATCCAAATCCCATGAGAAAATGATTACATGATGAGAGTTTTTTCACCAAATAAATAACTAATAATGCAAATCTAAACAAGCACAACTGTTCCATCTACACCAATGGTTCTCAACTGGTCTGGCTCCGGGACCCACCATCACCCCTTAATGACAAGCCGCGACCCAAATCGAGGAACATTCTCAACTTCTCAAATTCTTTAATGAAAATATGGTGCAGTTTGAACCTGAGGTAGTATGGAGACAGAATACGTATGCCAACACAAAAACATGTTTAATGAAAAAACAAAACAGCCAGCTGCTAATTCTAATTTGTATTTTCCCATTGAAAACGGGTTCGCGACCCACCAGTTGAGAATCACTGATCTACACATTTTGTTCCTTCCCATTGTAACTAAAAGCAGCCCAGCTGCTACAGACAAAGCGGCAAGCAGATGGGTTGCCAGATGTGTTAGACGCGTCAACATGAACATGGGTGATGTCACTCCTTGTGTTGAACTGTTGAATCAGTTTGATTATCTTGAATCAGACGAGGTCATTGAACGCTTCAACTGATCATAACACACCGTTTGTAATTTCCTCTACTGAAGATGTATTTTTTCATTAGCGCAGCAGCCTGACAATGGAATCGGCTCATTTATTAGTCAACCCAACGCTCTTGTTTGGTTCCAGATGTCGCTGTGCTCACATCTGTAATGTCTTCTGCTTCTCCTGTGTTTGTTCCAGGCCATGAAGGGGGAGAAGGGGATTCCAGGAGTGCCGGGGGGAGACGGCCTGGGAGACGAGCTCACGGAAGATAACTTCAGTAAGTTTATACAGCTTGTCCTCACGTTGGACTTTGTTTAATCTCCTGACATGAATTTCTTTCCTCACGTTATTACATTGTGGTAAATGATAATAGCCTTGTAAGCGGCGATGGAGGTGTCGGGCTCCACTCATAGCCTCCATGTTGTTATATACTAGGCATTAAGTAAGAGCTTGTTGGTTTGTTAGTATTTGGCGTGATCTCACATTCAGTCAATAATAAATAAACAAAAATGAAACGGAATATATTTAAATCAATTTTAAATTAACTTTTTTTTGTCTTCAAAGTGTATTCAATTTAAATTGAATATATAATTAGTGTTTTTAATACTTCTTCAACGACCAATCCCATTTCACAATGCCACTCTGTATTCAGATTAAGAATCACGCTGGTACCATCACCTGCATAAAAGGGCAAAACAGATAAACTATATAGAGAC